GAGTATTTCTTATGAGTGGGAGCTCTTAGGTATTGAATCAGCACTTGAGAAGTGTGATGTTCTTTGCAGGTCATAGACAGAGGCTTTTTAAAAAATGGAGAAGAAATTCCCGTAACACGAGAGTAACCATTTTAAAGGGAATGATTCAATTTGGTGGCATTTTGTACTTTCACAGTGCTGTGCAGCCACCGCCTCTCTCTGGTTCCAAACCATTTTCATCCAGAATAAAACCGCTTCCCCGTTAAACAGCTACTACCTATTCTCTGCTCCCTCTAGCCCCTAGCAACCACCAGGCTGTCTCTATGGATTTAGCTGTTCTGGATATTTTATATAAATGGGATCATGTAATATGTGACCTTTTGTTTGGCTTCCTTCAGCTAACATATTGTTTCTGAGGTTCATCCACGTTGGGGCACATACCAGTAGATCATACAGTTTTAACAACTACCCAAGATACCCAAGGTGGTGCAGTGATAAAGAACTCACTTGCCAGTGCAGGAGATGTAGATGTGGGTTCGATCCCTGGGTTGGGAAGATCCCTTGGAGGAGTGCATGGCAACCCACCCCAGTATTCTTGCCTGGAGAATCTCATGGACAGAGGAGCCCGGCGAGCTACAGCCCATAGGGTCGCAAAGAGTCAAACAGAGCTGAGTGACTGAGCACGCATGCAAGATACCCAGAGACAAACCTGCAGGAAAAGAGTGCTCCTTCTCGCCACTGTCATTTAAGCCCCAGTTTCTGCCAGAGGAAGGGGAATGAACTAGATTCATCATTCCCGGAATAAGCTGCATTAGAGACACCAGTCGTATGTCTTTAAAAAATACCGATTCTTGGGCTCCACTCGGAGCGTTCTGCATCAGTAGGTCAGGGGTTTCTCTGGGGTTGCTGACTGTCAGCTCGCTGGGTGTGGGACCCCTGAACCAGGAGACCTCTCGGGGGCCATCTTGATTCTTAAAGACCTGCCTGTGATCTTAGCAGAGGCCTGAACCCCACGCACCATATTCTTTGTTGTTCATGAGGCAGTTCTGTGCCCAGACCTCTGTGGCTTGCAATTTCCCTGTTCGCCTTCTGAGGGGAGGCGCAGGGCTCCCTCCCCGCTGGTTTTTACGGCTCCAATTAATTGTGGCTCATTTATCAAGCGCCAGCTACGCCCTGTGAGCTGGAGATGGGAGAGGGAAGGTTGTTCACGCCCTGGGGTGGTAGTTACAGCTGACTGCACATCAAGGTTACATTCTGGAAAAGCCACCCTCCCACTCGCCCTCACTCCCTCCCAGACCAGTGTCTCCCTGGGCCCTGTGTGCGAACCCCTCTCCATGTGGTCTGTGGGACCCAGTGAGCAAGGCTGGGCGGAGTGAGCGGGATGTAGGGAAGCCTGCAGCTGCACCCAGAGGGCTGGGCATGAGGGAATCTCAGGGGCTGAGGCCAGGAGGAAATCCCTGGGGATGGAAAAGGACCTCAGCAAGCTAGCAATCACCCACACAGTGTGGGGATCCAGCCTGGACACCGGTGGGTGCTGTGATCACAGGGGAAGGAGAGGAGGCTACTCTGGACCTCTGGTTGCCTGGTTACTTTCCATGGACAGCCTGTTTTGACCTCTTCCCTTTCCCCTGGGGAGGGGCCGGGAGAACGAACGCCAAGGGGAGATGGAGAGGAGGAAAGTGAGACCAGAGAGCATCATGGTGTCTTTGCTTTAATAAACGTGCCAGCCTGCCTGGTGGTGGACTCCCGCAGCTGACTCTGCTCTTTGCTGGGGGAATATGCACGTGGGGTGCGGTGGGGGTCAGCCTCAGCCAGGCGGCGGCTCCCTGGAGAGTTACTCCTCTGACCAGGAGGTGCCCGTGCTGACGTCTAGCCGAGGGAAGGTGCTGAACTATTCGTGTGAGTTGCCTGGTGGCGCTTGGACAAGCTGTTCCTTGCTTGAGATTTTTTTTTTCCCTCCACCGTGCTGCCCTTTTACAGTCTGCTGTTAGGAGTGAAAGGGACATTTAATAAAATCTTTCCTTTTTTTAGAAGGTGTTTCAGCAAGCTCGCCTTCTCGACTTCCTTTGTCTGAAAGCCTTGGATGTTCAGGTGCCTCCTTTGTGCTGCTCTTACCCCTTCACCTCTCCTGGGATTGGTTCAGGGGCCCCATAAATCTCATGTCCTCCGAGCAGAAAGACTTGCGTGAGTTGTGCTCAGAGCTCAAGCCCGCTCTGATCACCGTAGGCTTTGTAACCTGTTCTGAGTGTTATTTGATTATGAACCTGCCTGAGGGGCTGTTGGGAGGTTGCCCCAGTGCAGCGTTGCTGGGCCTTCTTATGCCAGGCCCTGGATGAACTTAGTGTTTTTTTTCAGGCTCCAAATCCTTGATCATATTGGCGTTTGCATAAATCATCTATTTATTCCTCTCTGGTTCTAAGGGTGAGGACGTTTTTGGAGGGAGAAGGCCTTTAGCCCAAATTCCCAGGGCTCCTGCCATGGTGGGCTTCTTCTGATCTGTAGATGCTTTCAGATTCTTCCTAGAGGCGAGGGCCGGCAGGAAAGAGGGGGAGAGGGTGGGCTGGGAGAAGGCCTCTGCGGCTGGTGGTGATTCCCGTAGCTGCTTTCCCGCTTGCATACCCTGAGCTAAGTAATTTACTTATTTCTCTTTTTTTGTTTGCACATCTCTGCTGATGTTTGCCTGGACTTGCCTCTCTGGAAGTCAGAAGGAGCGTTTTGGAATGACATATTTTCCTTAAAAGAAAAAAATCTTTTCCTTTAAAGAGGCCTCATGTCACCTATTTTCCAAGAGCCTGGATCCTGGATCAAATTAGACGCAGGTGTTTAAGACCTGAAGCAGGGTGGTGAAGGATTAGCTCCTTTGTTATTCTGTCAGCCAAGTTGGTGACACAGGTGTTTCCCTTTTCCCTTGGGAAGAGGTGTCTCGCCTGAGAGCATCTGAAGGAGTGGGGGGGGAGGGGAAGGGGGAGGGAAAGGAGAAGGCTGCTGTGGGTGGTGGGGGAGGGGAGCAGAGGGTTTTCTGCTCAGACCTTTGATGGGAAGACAGCTGGGAGGGCTCATCAGCTGGGGCGTGTACTTTGCATCTGTCCAGGAGGTGTGGGTGGAGAGGTGGGTGGGGAACTGTGCAGGTGGACTGTGCAGAGACCACTTGGAGTTCAGAAGGTTGGTCTCTTCCATGTGCCCGAGACAAGCCATGGTTGAAGGGGCTGGTGGAATAGGCTTCTCCCAGGCATTGCTTCTGCTCCGGATTTTGGGGGCTTTGTCCTAAACGTTCACACCAGTTCTCAGAATTTTTGTAAGTATGGTCATCCGTTGGCTGTTCCCACCCGAAAGGGGTGAAATGGTGTGCCCGAATGCCAGCCCTTGAACTGTCCATCAGTGACTGGTGAAATGGGAAAAATAAGAGGAATGGAGTTAGCTTTCCATATATCAAAGCCTCTCATAAAAAACTGTTTGATTCTGAGAGTCTGTCTGTCCTCAGTTTTCAGTGTTAAAACGTCCTTGCTTTGAACCATGACGGTGCTTCTAGATGGTAGCTGTATTGCTTGGGTGAGGGGTGGCCATGTAACAGGTGAGTCCCAGGAGCTCAGTGGGGTGAATGCATTTTCTGATTATGTGAAGTTCAAGATGAGCGGAGGAACTTCCCCTTGGGGATTCGGGTTCCTTCTGTCCTGTGGCCCCATTCTTCTCTGGGACTCTGGGGTCCTGAATGCATTCTGTGGGTAGGGAGGGAAAACGGGGCTGTGTGGGCGCCATGCCCCATCGTAAGCCCTGGGCAACAGTCTGCTGTGTCTTCAGGAGATCCAGAGACCAGCCAGCCATGCCCTTGACACAGGGGCGTTTGTTTTGTCCTTACCTGGCCGAAGAGAGGTGGCCGACCCGCCCTCTGCTGGCCTGCCTAGTTCATCTGCATTTTACTGGTTTACAAGATCCAGAAGCCTGAAACTACTGTTTGTAATAAGCCAAAGGTCATTTCTGTGGAGTACTGGAAGATATTTCCTTACTTGGAATACTTCATAACTGATTAAATAAAGCTGGTGTTTTTCCTTTGCTCTTCCTTGTTATAAGCTAAGGATAAGCACCATCACCTGTAGGGCAGAGAGAACCAGTCTGGACAGGGATTGGCAAGCATGTGGTCTTTCTGGCTTATGCCCCTTTTTTAAATGAGGAAGGTGCTTCAGTGTTTTGGTTTCAAATCTGACCAGTGCATGTCCCATGTGTGGAGTAAGGATGAGAGGAACTAGAGGTTGATTTCACAAAGGACCAAATAACCCGAGTAATTAGTTATGCCAATGAGAGCCTGAGAAGGTGATTTTTTTTTTTTCCCAATCCGGCTAATACCAAATAGCAGAGGACTAGTGTTTCTTCTTTGGGAAGTGAATCTGGTGGAATCAGCAGAGGCAGAAATACAGGCCATCCTGGCCCCATGCTCCAGGTGTAAGCATCTTAGGCATTTCTGAGTTACAGTTGTGGAGAGAGAGTCTTGCTTTATTATTATTATTATTTTTCCTTTTCTTTGTTGGCCATGCCATATGGCTTACAGGATCTTAGATCCCTGACCAGGGATTGAATCTGTACCCCTCGCTGTGGAAGCATGGAGTCTGAACCATTGTTTCTTTTATTTATTTGTTTAATCACTAGGTCATATCCAACTCTTTGTGACCCTGTGGCCTGCAGCACGCCAGGCTTCCCTGTCCTCTGCCATCTTCTGGAGTTTGCTCAGACTCATGTCCTTTGAGTCTGTGATGCCATCCAACCATCTTGTCCTCTGTCATTCCCTTCTCCTTCTGCCTTCCATCTTTCCCAGCATCAGGGTCTTTTCCAGTGAGCCGGCTCTTTGCGTCAGGTGGCCAAAGTACTGAAGCTTCAACTTTAGCTTCGGTCCTTCCAATGTATATTCAGGGTTGATTTCCTTTAGGAGTGACTGTTTGGACCACTAGGGAAGTCCTGAGAGTCTTAGAATGGTGATGGCCATCACTCATTCTGGGTCCTAATTCCTGTGTTGGTTTGATCTCTTTCAGGTTAGTCTCAATGATTCCCACAATCAGATGGTGGTCCACTGGGCCGGCGAGAAGAGCAACGTCATCGTGGCCTTGGCCCGGGACAGCCTGGCACTGGCGAAGCCCAAGAGCAGTGACGTGAGTATTGTTGTTGCTTTCGCTTGTTTCTCCTCCACTGGGGTTATTATCATGGCAGGCAAAACATCGAGTAGCTGAGGAATCTGGAAAATCCTATGTAACCCTTGTTTGTGAACACAGGGTGCTGCACTCACGGTTGCAGTGAAACCCGTGAGATGCGTGGTGACTTTTGTGCAATGATGGGGTGTGCTCGGGGGCTTCCCAGGTGGCTCAGCAGTGGGGTCTGCCTGCCCGTGCAGGAGACCTGGGTGTGATCCCTTGGTGGGGGAGATCTCCTGGAGAGGAGATGGCAGCCACTCCAGTATTCTTGCCAGGAGAATCCCATGCACAGAGGAGCCTGGGGGCTACAGGCCATGGGGTCACAAAGTCAAATACAACTTAGCATCTAAACAACAGCAACAGCAAGGGTGTGATCTGGATTGTGTATCTGCTCAGCCAAATGCCAGAAGTGTGTTCCTGGGCAAAGCTGCCCGTCGGCAACCGAGCCCAATGGAATCGAATTGGTCTTGCCATGTGCTGATTTCTGCTAACTCGTTACAGTTGGACGAGTCCTTCAATCTGAATTGCTCATCCTCTTAATTTCCACAGTTGGCTCTTTACGATGTTTAATCGTCTAGGTGCTTTGAAGACTTTAGACCAAGGATCACACACTCAAAGACCTGTGATAGGGGCCACGTAGGTAAGGGGCAGGGGTGAAGCTGCCCCCAGGTTTACACCACTCTTTACCTCTGAGAGGAAGAAGGGTCTTTCCCGTTATTCTTGAAGTCTGCAGCCTTCTGGGACATTATTTCGTTCTCCCACTTTCTATAGAGATGCAGGTTCAAGAAACATTCTCCTGTATTGGTTTGAACATGGTGTGTGGTGATGGATGCTTGCTTCTTGGTCTCAGTTTATGAGAGACTCTGGAAAGTGGGAGGGACTTTGAGCTTCTGGGCTGTTGTTCTCAGCTCTCAGCTCTGGTTGCTGTGCGGCTGGATCTGATTTTTCGAGAGAAATTCAGAAGTGAGGATTTTTTTTTTCAGAGGTGGGGATTTTTACGAGAAACTGCTGAGTCTTACAACTTGGCAGCTGACGTATAGTTTTTATAAACCCTGTGTGGGCCAAGTAAAACATATATGAGGACCAGAGTGAGCCCTTGGGTCCCCAGTCTGTAGCCCCTGCTCCAGACACCCCCCACCACTTGTGGGGAAGAGAAACAGGGCCTGCCTCAGGTCAGGGTCTGACATGGTCACAGGATGAGGCTGTGGACAGAAAATCCCACTGTGGACCTTGGGTCACTCTGCACTCAGGCCAGAGAAAAACCCCTGAAGAACTTGCTAACCCTGTCCCATCAGCCCAGTGGACACGTTTGTAATTCTGGAACCTGGATTTGGTCTCTGTGAGGCCCCTCACTTTGTGTCCACCATCTGGGCTTGATATGCTCCAAGGTTGGGGACCAGAGGTGCCCCAGGGACTGTTTCCTAGTGGGTCAAATAGGGGCAGCCACCGGTGGAGAGGGCAGACGAAGGACTGGCCATAGCGATGTGTAACTTGGCTCAGGGTGGGTGCCCAACAGTGGTAGTGGGAAACCACTGCAGCTGACAGCCAGTCTGGGTGCAGTGATGTGGGGCAGGGCTAAGCTTGTCCGGGGCTGTGAGTTTGGCTCAGTTATAGATTCGATCAGGGTTGGCAGGCACAGATGGCAGCGATGCGATGACGGTTGGCCCGAGAGAGTTTTAGCCCGCTGTGTCCAGCATTGTCACCGTCTAGTGGCATCTCTTTTAAGCACAGGCAGCAGCTCTCTGCCCTACTGTGTTGAGAAATCCTCATTAGGGTATTTATCTTCAGAATTCTTTGTCCAGATGGTATTTCTGTTAAGATAGGTGAAGACCTATCTTTCTACTGTTTTGCTGGACAAACAGGAGCCCAGAGGCGTTAAGTGATGTGCGTGGGGCCCCTCAGCACGTGTGTGGGAGGGTTGGGGCCATGACCCGATCATGTGCTCGGCGTGTGAGGGTGTAATGTTGCCAGGGTGACCAGCATTGGCTTTAGCACTGAAAGACCTACATCCTGGGACCCTTCTCAGTCTTGGATGAATCAGGAAGAATGGTCACCATACATATATTGCCAGTCTATCCACACCTAATGGAGAAGGAAACGTCAACCCACTCAGTGTCCTTGCCTGGGAAATCCCACTGACAGAAGGAGCCTCAATGCCTCCAGTCCATGGGGTTGCGAAAGAGTCGGACACGACTTCGTGTCAACAACATCCGAACCTGTTTCTCACTCTGCCTAAATATTTGGGTGATTCTTACTAAGGACCGATTGAACATTTGAAACAAGAGCCTATTCTGTAACGAAGTATACGCTAAGATTAAGTTGGAAGGAGACTTCATGTTTGGAGATAATAAATCAGGATGGCAGAGATTTCTCTCGTTAGCATATCAGCTGCGTTAAAGAATTGGCAGATGAAACTCAGATAGTCTGATGTGAAAAGTTAATTCAAAAATAAATTCTGACTCAGAGGCAGGAGTAGGTGGTGCCAGAGTAGTAACAATCTAAATTTTCTCTGAAGACTGGAAGCATGGTTCCCAGGGCCCCATCAGCATCCAGAAGGTAAAGGACGTATACAGATCAGGAGCTGTGTGCATGTTGGAGAATGGCCAACTCATACATTCTCCGTGTATAAAAAAGGGATGATCTGGAAGTTGAAATCCCAGAAGATTTGCTCTTAAGCAGAAAAAAACAAAATAAAATCCTGGTGAACTTGTGGCTCGTGATTCCGTGAAGCATGGCTCCTGCCGGACCCTTCTTTTCCTTTGATAAGTCTGGAGATGAAAGAAAACCATAGGTGTTTTTCTTGATCGTCCTTGCCTCTCATTTCTGCATTCTCCTGACCTATTTTCCCAAGTACCCAGTTGCCACATAATTTGACCAAAGAAGTTTCCAGAGATATTGTTCACTAGGAGATCGGAATCACCCAGCGCGGGCATCTGGAATGGTGGGGATCACTGCCCTGGTACCCAGAGCTGTGTGGCATTGCGGTTGCTGCCCCTGGGGACTGGCCGGGGAGCAGGGCCTGCACTTGCCGACGGTGCAGAACTTGGTAGCCTGTGTGAGCCGGTGTCTCGCTGAGCCCCGGCTCTGAGGACTGAGCATGTGGGCTTGAATCCTGGCTCTCCCATTCATCAGCTGTCTGACCTTCAGCCAAACCCTTCACTTCCCCTTGGTTTTCTCATCCATCAATGAGAAATCTTGTGATTTCGTCCTTGTGAAATCTTGCTCCCCAAAGGGTGGTATGCTGATCGGCAGCACAGGGATTTTCTGGAGGATGGTGAGAAATGCAGAATCTCAATTCTCACCCTGGGACTTCCTGAATCTGAGGTTTGCATTTTGACCTGTGTCCTGTGGGGTGATTTGTAGGCATGTTTGAGAAGCACTGGTGTGAAGTACTTAGAACGGCACCAGACAGGGAGATATTTTCTGGATGTTTTCCTCTCCTTCACTTTTCCACTCTTCTCTTCCCCCTCCTCCTTCTCTTTATTATATAGTTTTGATGTACAGGAGAAATAATTTTAAAATGTTTACCTCAAAGGACCATCTTTATAGGTAAGACGATCTAACTAGCAACTTTTGGCAGTTTAGAAACTAGTTATGGAATTAAGAGATACAGACTACTATATATAAAGCCACAAAGGTATATTGTCCAGCATACGGAGAATGTAGCCATTATTTTGTAATAACTTCACTTGGAATATAATCTATAAAAATATGGAATCACTATGTTGTCCACCTGAAACTAGTATAATCTGTAGATCAACTATACTTCAACCGGAAAAGAAGAAGCCCCTCCTCGCTTTAATTCTTAGGGAGTTGTGTCCCCTCGAGGCCAGAGGATGAATTAGGGCAGAAACCTGTGTCTGGATCCAAAACGAACTGCAGAAGCACAAGGTGAATGCGCCTCGGCAGTTTGCCCTAGAACACCTGGAGCTCACTGTGGGCAGTGAGCCGGGCAGCACCCTAGGGCTGCCACGAGGAAAAGACCCCCCGACCCAGAATGTACCAGCGGGGGTGCAGTGTGGATGCTATGAGGCCCTCAGCCTGCTTGTTCTTCTTATACAAACAACTGGCAGAGGTCCTTCCAGGGTCCTTCTCCTGGGAGGAAGGCAGATAGCTGTGCATGGCCCCTAGCTTGCATTTACCCTATTGATTCACTGATCAAAGAGGAATGAGAATTGTGAGGATAGGATCAAAACACCATGTTGGAATTGTTTAGCCTGGAGAAAGGAAGGTTGATGAGCGGTTTGAGAGCCGCAGGCATAGCAAGGACCCTCACATTCCCAGTTGTAACTTCTGTTTGGTATAAGCCCAAAGGCATAGGGTTTGCTTACAGACAAGAATGTTAAGGAGGGGCTTTTTGGTCGGGAGGGTGGTTGCCCCTCCACCACTAGTGGAGGTGTGTCGGGGAATCCAGGGAAGGCCCTGTGTGTTTTGTTCAAGGTGGTGTTTCTCCCTCCATCCAGCACTCTTTCCACTGCCTGGGCTGTAGCTTTGGTGCTCTTCTTCCTCTTGAGCAGTGAGACAGAGGAGGATGTCCACCCAGAAGGCTGACCTGTGAGCGTGGAAAGTCAGCAGGGCTTGGGCTGGGAGGAACCTGTCCTGGTTTTGTCACTTTCAAGTACCTTGACCTCGGACTTGTGGTTCATTTCTCGGAGACTTAGATTCTGTTATCTCTTATATAAGGAAGTAGTCGTTCATTCGGTCACTTAAGGATCCATTCATTTCACTCTTGTTCATTTATGGAGCACATGTATTTACTCATGCTGTGGTTTATAATGACGCTTATTTATTCCAGAAATCTTCCCTGAGCACCTGCTATGTTCCAGGTCCATGGAGGACAGGAAAGAGACTCATTCAACAGGGTTCTGAAGATGCAGAGAGATGATGTATACAAGAGTGTGCATACGTGCATGCTCAGTCACTTCAGGTGTGGCTGACTCTTTGCAGCCCCGTGAACTGTAGACTGTCAGGCTCCTCTGTGCATGGGATTCTCCAGGAATAATACTGGAGTGGGTTGTCATGCCCTCCTCCAGGCGATCTTCTTGACCCAGGGATCAAATCCCCGTCCCCTTTGTCTCTTGCATTGCAGGTGGATTCTTTACCCACTGAACCACCTAGGAAGCCCATACAAAAGAGTATTGTTACTGAAAAATGCCGCCCTGATATGAACTTATTATTAAACTGGTGTCTCTGAGAAGGTGACTCAGAGTGGACTTTCCATTTAGGGGATGCTGGGGCTAGAAGGGGCCTGAGCTCCCTTTTGGAGAAGCCGGCAGTTTGCTCCGTGTGACTTTGAGTGTCACAAGGGACCCTTCTTTCTGTTCTCGGCCTGGAGGGTGCAAGTGAGAAGGTACCTCTTTCTTCCAACCTCTCAGGTGATCTGTGAGCTCTCAGGCTGCTGACTTTCGGAAGCTGTTTTGGCAGCATCCCCTTACTGTGTGTTTAGTAGCTGGGATCATGTGCTGTATTTAAGCGTGTGTGTTTGTAACAGGGATTCTTCAGATACTGGCAGAGACTCTTAGTCTGTGCTGCTCTTCCAATCTCAACATCTAATAAATATTAACGACCCACGTGTGCGCTCAGTTTTCTTCATACAAACCTCTTGTCGTTCATTGTTCACTGGGGGCATTGTTCGCAAGCAGTGACGCGTTCACACGCCCGCGGTGTGAAGGGCCGTGTCCTTGTATGCCCGGTGTCCGGCACAGCACCTGGCTCACGCGAAGCCCTTGGAATGTGTTGCTGCTGAAGTCAGTGGGGTTCATCCCGAGTTCCCGCGCCTTCCTAGGCCTCACCTGTCCTTTATCTTTAATGCTTTCCCCAGTTCTGAGTCAGTGTTTTAGTATTACCTTCATCTGTCAGGCTCCTTTTTAACCCACTGATTATATTAATTTCTCAGTGAATGGGGTAGGGAAGTCTAGGGCCAGAATATCTGACAGAATCCATTTCTCCCATCCGTGTCTGGAGGTGGGACGGCTATCAGATTTCTGGCTTTAGAGGCATGCAGCCCGGGTCTGGGTGCCACACTGCTACTTACTTTGTAATTTTGGCAAGTGACTCCTCTCACCAGCCCCTGTTGCCCTGTCTGTAAGATGGTTTTAATAATTGTGGTTGCTGTGGAGGGTGGGGGCGAGAGCTCTCTGAGCTGATTGTGTGAAGAGGGTGGCGCACGAACTACCCTTCTGTTTCATAAGCTGTGGTTACCAGGGAGCCGGAAACGTGGAAGCAGCAGAGAAATAGATACCATTGGCACCTGCACAGACCTGATTGCTATTCCCCTAAACTCAGAATCAGTCCCCTGTGTTACAGGGTTAGAAGACGCGGGTGCTGGAGGTGGGGTTCTGGGACCCAGTATGCAGCCTCCATGCATGTTTAGTCACTTAGCACTGCCCTCTTTTTTTTTTTTTAAATCTCTGGGGCTACTCTGTGAAAACCTATGAGGGTTTTTAAAAAAATCTTCTGGAATGCTGTAAGGACAGAACTTCCCAGCAGAGGGACGAGAATTAGATTACCTTTTGGGGACATTTCAACAGATGGCAAAACAAATTCTCAATCCCTTCCCCTCAGTCAACCACATTCTCCGGTCTGGGCCTCTGGATGTAATTTGTTAAAACACACAGCCTGGCCGTGGTAAGGAGCTTATCATGATTGCTGTCCACACGTCTCCCCTCCAGGGAATCTTTATGGCCTCAGAAAAGAGGCCACCAGCTTGGGGACAGACGCAGGGGTCGTCTGCTTCTTCTCTGTGGGTTGTCTTCACATCTGTGATTTCATGGCATCGGGGACCCATCAGGACCCGCATGCAGGATGCTGGGGGGCGTGTTTGCAAGCGGAGACAGAGAGAGCCACCCTTCTGCCACATCTCTCACTGATCCTTTTCTTCCTTCTCGCCACTTTCTTCCAGGTGTACGTGTCCTACGACTACGGAAGGTCGTTCAAGAGAATCTCAGAGAAGCTGAACTTTGGTGAGGGGAACAGCAGTGAAGCTGTGATTGCCCAGTTCTACCACAGCCCTGCAGACAACAAGCGTGTAAGGATGTCACCCCTTATGATTGTGTAGGGCTGCCTTTGGGGGCCAGGGCTCAGCTAGAGGCTGGCTGGGAGATGGGACTCTTGGGGCATCTTTGCAGCGTGACTGAGGACTGTTTTTCTGCTCACCTGGGAGTCGGTGACAGAACGTCACTCTCAGGGCGGGACCATGCATAATCAAGCAGTCGGGGTTCCTGGCCAGGCAGGATTTCTAGACAAACAATGGCAGGTTAAAGCACAGAAAATCGGCCAGCTGCCACATAAATTGCCTGACTCATAGGTGGCAAAACCCCAGATCCACCGGGACTTGCACTGAGGTCTAATCTAGGTCTTCCAGGGCGGCTGCCAAAGTCTTGGTTTTATGGGCATCACTAGTGTGTGTGCACACGTGTGTTTGTGTATCTGCACTGCCTTCCCTCCAACCTATACTGGGTCTGGAAAGGAAAACCAGGGCAGCTGATACTGCCGGTGCTCCTGATTTGTTTTCCCAGCTGGCTGGCTCGGGGCTGTGGTCCTACAGTGGTAGCTGGGCAATTTCGTTTGGAGGAAGCCTTGACTTGGGATTGCTTTGGGCCCCAGAAAGGAAGGGGTGTGTGTGCAGGAGTCAGGCAGCCTCTGGTTAGGTAGCTTTAGCTCGAAGACTTGTCTGTGGCAGCTTTCTTCCCCACTCTAGTGACCCCCCACTCATTCCCAGGATAGGATGGCTGGCTGCTTCGAAGGATGCTGAAAAACTAGCCCCTTAGCTGCAAAAGTTCAGGAGTGGGTAGCTGCTGCTCTCTGCTCATCCAGGAAGGAAGGAGAGTGAGAAATCCACAGGGTCCTCTGACCTGGTCCCCTGCCCCCCTCCCACCTCCCCCTCAGTGCTGGCTTCTCAGGTTGCCTGTGGTCTGTGAGCTGGGGCTGTATTCAAAATATTTAGCCACTGGAAGGGCACTGACCAATCAGAACGGACTGGATCTGAAGGGAGCTGGGTCCTGAAGGCCACCCTGCTGAGCCAGGCATTAACCTTTCAGTTGCTGGATTGTGGGCAGGTCCTGGGGAAGGGGCCAGGCCACTGGGACTTTAGACAGGGCCTCTCATGGGTTTAAGTGGGCTGTTTACTAACAGAAGCAATTGTGTTTTTGTTTATTTAATTTCTTTTTTAAATTGAATTTTAGTCGATTTACAGTGTTTGTTGTGCCAGTCTCAACTGCACAGCAAAAAGCAATTGAGTTTTTATTTTAATTATTTTATTTAAAAAATTGAAGTATAGTTGATTTACAGTGTTGTGTTAATCTCTACTGTATAGCAGGAAGCAATTTTTTTTTAAAGATTTTTTTGATGTGGGTCATTTTTAAAGTCTTTGATGAATTTGGTTGTAATATTGCTTCTGTTGTCTGTTTTGGTTTCTTGGCTACGAGGCATGTGGGATCTTAACTCCCTGACCAGGGATCAGACCCACAACCCCTGCTCTGGAAGTGTGGAGTCTTAACCATTGGACCTCCAAGGAAGTCACAGCAGTTGTTTTGTTTTGTTTTTTAAAACAACTTGAATAGTTACTACTGGTACCCACTAGTTGGTATCAGCCTTGCCTGCTGATCCTTGCTTGCAGGCAGATTCTTTGCCATCTTAGCCACCCAGGGAAGCCCTCTGCCTGATGATCTCAAAGTTGAGGGGCAGTTAGGACAGATGCCCCTCTAACATGACTCCAAGATGACAGAGCAACCTGGAGAAAAGCACATAAAGGTGTTGAAGGGAGTTGGCTGCGTGGTTAGGATGGCAGGCTTTCTGTGCCCAGCCCCCACTGCATTGGGGTCAGGCAGGCCAGGGGTTGCAGATTCCCAGCACCTCGAGTGATTGAGGAGCCCTGCCCCAGGCTCCAGCTCCCTTCCCTGGCTGCATCTCCTGAGGATCCATCTGTGCGCACACCCCCCACCTCCGCCCACCTCTCAAGAATCATTCAACACTTGGAATAATAATCTCCTTGAGAGGTTGTATGTATCTAGTATTGTTATTACTATTGTTACTACACATTGTCCCAAAGTTGTTTTTGTTTAGTCACTAAGTCGTGTCTCTTTGCGACCCCATGGACTGTAGCTCACCAGGCTCCTCGGTTCATGGGATTTCCCGGGCAAGAGTACTGGAGTGGGTTGCCATTTCCTTCTCCAGGGCATCTCCCTGGACCAGGGATTGAACCTGTGTCTCCTGCATTGGCAGCTGGATTCTTTACCACTGCTGAACCACCAGGGAAGTGTTGGTGTGTATTAGTCTTTCAGTAGTGTCCAACTCTTTGTGACCCCATGGACTGTAGCCCACCAGGCTCCTCTATCCATGGGACTCTCCAGGCAAGAAGACTGGAGTGGCTTGCCATTTCCTTCTTGAGGGGATCTTCCTGACCAGGTCTCCCACGTTGCAGGCAGACTCTACCATCTGAGCCACCAGGGAAGCCCAAAATTAAACTCTTGCCGAAGTTGTGGCCTTGAAGCTGCCTGGTTGTCCCCATAGCGTCTTTGTCTTCAGCCCCGTATCGTCCCCTCCTCACCTCCACTGCAGGGCAGCAGTGAGCAGGCTCTCTCCCTTCCTGCTTGTCTCAGGTTGTGGTGAGTAACTGCTAAGTCCGCCCATTGGATGAGTCAGAAGACAGGAAAGATTGTGGGCCTGCGGGTGGGGTGTCAAGGTTGGTGCGGGAAGAGGATCTGGGGCCTTTGGAGCAGAAGGAGCAGGGCAGGAGCCAGGGCATTGGGGCAAGGCGGGAGCTGAACCGGGGGATGGTTGCAGTGAAGGAGTTCCAGGGGCTGCGAGTGAGGTGCCAGCAGTGGGCCTGCGACCTCAGAGCTGTCCCCGAAGGGCAGGGCTGCTTAGACTGCCTGGGGCTGAGCTGGGGATGGTTTGGAGTTGGTGCGGAGGGCTGCCTCCTTGGAGGACTTGTTGGTGGTTAGACCTCTGGCCCAGGGCAGGCTCAGTGAGGTTAGGCCTGGACTGGGGTTCCTGATTGCCCAGAGGAGACTGTTACCCTCCTCAGACCTCTCAGGGAGGGAGTGACTCTGACTGGGCTGATGACTTCACTTATTTTTGCTTTTGTGCCTTGGAAGGCAGATCTCCCCCGCCAGACCTGCCCCTTCCTGAGAAACATCCCCCAGGTCTAAATGCTTTGCTCCCCCCACCCTCCAGCCCCCAAAAGGTGCTAGGTCCTGGCAAGTCACCTGTGTACAACTGTTTTCACCGTGGCTGCCACGGAGGGCAATTGAAAATAGTTGAAATGACTGTTAACAGCTGCTAGGAAAGATCAAGATGTCACGAAAGGGAACATGAAAGTCTGGGGGGGGTGTGGCCTGCAGAAGGGGAAAGGTGGTGCTGCTTTAGGCAAATGGAGTGGCTGTGGGTCATGTGAGACTTTGGGTCTATTTTCAAACCGGCCCGCCGTCCCACTTCCTTCTTTGTGGTCCCGTGTGCTGACGCCTGGACCAGTGTGTGGCTCTGACCACCTGGCAGTTCCACCAGCTTCTTGAGGAACCCGAGAGCAGTCAGCAGTGTCCAGACGTGTCTGGGCTCATTTAAGGTCACTGGACGTGCAAGTCAGGTTGCTCAGCCTCCACTGATGTGAGAGCAGGTCCTGTCTTTACCCAGAGGGTGGTCCTGGGGGAGATGCTGAACCACGCTCTCTCTTTCCCTGGGTTCCCACCTCCTGGGGGTCTGTCCCTTCACTGCCTCCTCTGACTGTGCTCTTGGTTTCTCCACTCAGAACCAGAGAGAGTCACTTGTGCTGACACAGAGATGAATTCTGTACTGTCTTTTGTTTTATTTTTGGAGGTCTTTGTATTTTAGGAGGGAATGTAGCTTTAAGCTAAAGGATGAAGCACCTCTGGAACGTTAAGTGATTGCAGACAGACTAGGAGGTGAGGATGATCCTGAGGTTGCCCAGCCCGGGAAGCCCTTACCTAGTAGGTCAGCTCTGCTGGCCGGTCCATGGGGTCACCCGAGCAGACCTGACAGCCCGCAGTCCCAGGACTGAAAGCGGAGCAGGATGTTCTGGGCGCACATGATAAGGTTACTTCGTAGTAGGAGACACACGTGCCTAAGGGCAGGATGGAAGCTGCCGGTCACTAGATCTGGGGATCGAGTGAGGTTGGACCAGAGACGGGAAGGCTTCTCGGGTGCTCGGGAGGCCTGGAGCCTCAGAGATGGGCACGATTTCTGTAGCTGGAGCAGGGCTGGTGGGAACTCTTGGGGAGGAGAAGGGCGCAGGCAGAGGCTTCAGGTGCCAAATGTCGTTTCTCTGCAGGCGGGGAGGGGAGAGTTTGGACTGAATGGCTTCGTGATGTCACTGGGGCCCCATCTGAAGAGGGAGGAGCTTGCCTTCTGCCTGGAGGACTAGAGGGAGCCATGGAAGGGTCCGAAGTGGGGACTGTCTCTTAGGAACATGTGTCTGCTGACAGCTGCAGGATGGTCTGGAAGGGCAAGAGTAGAGAAGGGTAGCAAGGGAGCCGGTGGCTAGCCTAGGCATGAAGTTGCCCAGTCATCCGACCAAACCTAGGGTCACCCTCTAAGTGTCTCACTCCCTGCTGGTCCTGGAAGCCAGGAGGATGAATAAAACCCAGTGCTGACCCCCAGTTTCCTTGGAGTGTCTAGTAGGGCTGCAGGCCACTCTGGGGGCCCTGGGAAGAGACAGGAAGGCACTCATTGTGCAAAACATTTTAGAGGAAAACATACGAGGGTAGGCGACTGATTGAGAGTGAGGGCCAGAGGAAGGCAGTGGAAAAGAAGCCTCATGTGAGTGGTGGGATGGGGGAAGGTGTCACGTGGATAGGACTTGGGGTGTGTGGAGGCAGAAGTGGGTTTTGGGGGGAAGGCGGCAAAGAATTCAGTTTTGGACAGAGTAGAGTATTTGGCACATCCAGATGGAGGTGCTGAGAAGGTACAAGAAGGACCTGAAATAGACTCTTTGGGGAGATGTCAGGGTGGAGGCGGGGGTTTGAGGGTCTTGGAAAGCGTGCTCTTGGAGGCAGTGGCAGAAGCTTTGTGGGAGGATGAACCATAAACCAAGGTCGTAGCCAAGGATGGAGGAGTCAGGGAGGTCACCCAAGGGCAAGGAGCTGAAGAAGACAGAGGAGCTGGTGAGAGAGAAGCAGAGACAGATGGGCAGGGGTGGGCTGTGGAGCGTTGATGAGGCAGTGTCCAGGAGGCAAGAGGGTTTCCAGGGAGCCTGAGGAGTGGATTAAGACAGGAGGCATGTCACTGCACCTAGCAGTCCAGGCTGAAACCTGTGCGTTCAATTTGGGAAGTCTGCCTTTTTAAAAAATTTATTTATTTTTAATTGAAGGATAATTGCTTTACAGTATTGTGTTGGGTTCTACCATGCATCAACATGAATTAACCATGGATATATGTACATGTCTGGGCTTCCCCGGTGGCTCAGTGGTAAAGAAGCCACCTGCAATGCAGGAGCCGCAGGTTGGGAAGATCCCTGGAGGAGGGCACAGCAACCCACTCCACTGTTCTTGCCTGGAGAATCCCATGGACAGGAGCCTGGCGGGCTGCAGTCGCGAAGAGTCAGAAACTACTGAAGCGACTTAGCACAGACGCACGCATACACATGTCCCCTCTCTCCTGAACCGCTCTCCCACCTTCCTCCCCATCCCACCCCTCTAGGTTGTTTCAGAGCCTTGGTTTGAGCTCCCTGAGTCCTACAGCAAATTTCCATTGGCTGTCTGTTTCACATGTGGTAGCGCACCTGTTTCCTCGCTGCTCCGTCCATTCGTCTCACCTTCTTCTTCCGCGCCCGCCCGCCGTGTCCATAAGTCTGTTCTCTATGTCTGTGTCTCCACTGCTGCCCTGACAGTAGGCTTACTGCTGCCATCTTTCTAGACTCCACATATATGTGTTAGTATACGATGTTTGTTTTTCTCTTTCTGACGTCCTTCATTCTGTATGACAGGCTCTAGGTTGTTGGAAGGAGAGTGGTGAGGATTGATGAACCAGCCGGACACTGATGTGTGTGTTGCTGCCTCCTAGTCACCTTGGGGGGCTGACCTCTCTCAGCATCCTGTCCTCCTTAGTAGGAGGATATAACACTCTCACAGCCTGGAGGTGCTGTGGGCACTCTGGGGGTGAGAGGAGGCAAGGTGTGCGAACGTTCAGCCCACTTCCTGGTACAGACCCAGTGCCCTTGACAAACTGGAGCTGTTATCATGAACATCGTGACCGGGCGTGTGACTTCAGCTCTTCAGATGTGAAACTGCAAGCAGCCATCGATGAGTTCTTCTGGAGAAAACTTTCCAGACTGAGAGAACACTCCCTCCGCCAGCAACCAAGACGGTTTCAGAGCAGGAAGATGGGCTAAGTCGTTTCTAGCAGGGGGGACACTTTTATACCCCAAATTATGGTGGTCCTTTTAGGGTCATCATTGTTTTTTATCACTGTGCTTTGGGTGCAGATAGTTTCTGCTCTCACAGCATTTATTACCCTTTAGAGTGAGATTTAATTAGGCTTCTCCAGAGTCTGGAGTTTAACATTAGATGCTGTGGAGGAAACAACACATAAAACAGATGCCCGGGGAGTTTTCAGTCTGGATGTGGGGAGCAAGTGGGAGGGAACAGGAGCAGGAACCTATGGCAGCCACGTGCAGACAAGCGCGGCGTGTTCCTGCAGGCTGCGGCTCTCAGCACTGAACGGGTTCCGAGCCGAAGCTGGGTCTGGAGCAGGTGGGATCCATTAGGGAACGAGTCCTTGGCCTGATTCCCGTGCATCACTGATTTCTGGGACGTCCCTGGTTGGCTGGCTGGTGTGGTGGTGCTGGGTCCCTCGGCTCTCGGTTTGGTTCACAGTTGTCCTTGGATCCACTGTGTGCTCCTGGGAGCAGGCAGCCCTCCAGCCGTGTGTGTGTGTGTGTGTGTGTGCGTGCACTCAGGTCCAGCCCTCCAGCCGTGTGTGTGTGTGTGTGTGTGTGCGCGTGCGTGCACTCAGGTCCAGCCCTCCAGCCGTGTGTGTGTGTGTGCGTGTGTGTGTGCGCGTGCACTCAGGTCCAGCCCTCCAGCCGTGTGTGTGTGTGTGTGTGTGCATGCACTCAGGTCCAGCCGCCTTCCTGACGTTCCCCTCAGGCCCTCAAGACTGTCATCACACCAGTGCCCTGTTTTCCCCCCTCCTCTTTGGTTCTCCAAGTCAAACTGCCCTGGACGTGGCGTGTTCCATCCCTGTGGGAGTCTTGCCTGCACTGTGAGGCCTAAATCTTCCGTGGAGTTAGTTCCTGTTCCCCAAACCGCAGCTCATCTATGATCTGTACTCTCTCAGGACTCTGTCCTTGTTTTCTCAGTTATTCTCATTTCCCCTTGAATTGGAGTTGGCCGTGGACATGGCTCTCTCCCACATCAGGCTGGAAGGTGCTTAAGAGGAAGCATCATCTGTTTTCTCTGGGGGTACCTCTGGCATCTGGTCCATGGGGAATATTCGGGGCACATTTGTTCAGTGGAATTGCTTTGGTCCTTTGCCCTAGAGAACTCTTTAGGCCGACAGTCCCTCTCCAGCCAGACTTGTTCAGAGTCGCTCACCCACGTGGGAGCAAAATAAGCTGAGGCCCCTGCTCTCCCGCTGCCTGCCAGCCCGAGTGCAGCTGAGTCCTCACAGCTGCCCTGTCACCTGGCACCAGGGCACGACGGGGACGCTCAGCTTCCTGGGTGGGCGTGATGTCGGGTATCCTCCCGGAAAGGCCTGTGGGAGTATGCACGGGTGGTGAGCAGGCCGCTCCACGCGTGGCCAGTCTGGAGAGCAACCCTCTTTCTAGAACCACCCTCTGACTATGACTGATGGCCCCCTCGAAGAGTGAGAAAGGCCAAGTCAGTGGAAAGAAAGGATGGAAGGGCTTGATTAGCTTCATTACCTGGATAAACAGGAGCACCATCTGGCTTCACCATGGCCTGTCCACACCCTTCCTTTGCCAGGCCTTGTGTGGGTGCGCACCAGAGTCTCTTCACTGGCAGCAGATGGCAAGAAAGCCACATTCAAGGGTGACACCCTGGCCCTTGCATGCATGGGGACTCAAACTGGGTTGAGGAAGGGGCATCAGGGGCCCGGCCAGGCCTGCTCTGAGCCCCTCTCCTTTCTTCGCAGTACATTTTCACAGATGCTTATGCCCAGTACCTCTGGACCACGTTTGACTTCTGCAACACCATTCAAGGCTTCTCCATCCCATTCCGGGCAGCCGACCTCCTGCTGCACAACAAGGCCTCCAACCTTCTCCTGGGCTTTGACAGGTCTCACCCCAACAAGCAGGTAAGAGCGCCTCAGGAACACGGTCAGGTGGTGCTTCCAGAGGCTTCTGTTCTGCCAGGGTGGTTCGCCTGTCCTTTGGGTGACCTGTGCAGCTATCATTTCACTTCCCACGGCTACAGAAAAATGTATCCCCTGGTGCTGTTGGTCTGCGTCCCAGGCAGGGAGGGACACCCCCAGTGGCCCTGCTGGTTATACATCAGGCCCTTCTCACTGCTCAGGCACGTCTCTTAAGTCCTGGGGGTAGATTGGGGCTCTGGAATTGGATCAGAGAGCTAGGTAGAGAAGGCTGATGGCAGTTCTGCTGGGACTTCTTGTTGAATTTCTGTTCTACCTTTCATCATTGACCTTCAGCATACTGCCCATGCCTGTCATTTAGTTGATGTTGTTGTTGTTTAGTTGCTAAATTTGTCTGACTCTTTTCCAACCCCATGGACTCTAGCCTGCCAGGTTTCTTTGTCCAGACAATAATACTGGAGTGGGTTGCCATTTCCTTCTCCAGCAGTTCTTCCTGGATCAGGGATTGAACCCACGTCTCCTGTATTGCAGGCAGAGTCTTTACCACTGAGCTGCCAGGGAAACACTTATTTGATGTTACCATTAACTTAAATATTCTCTGTGTGTGTTGGGGGGCACACACATATGCATGTAATATAAATGTGTGCATTTTCCTCCTTTAAGCAAATTTGAAGGAAAGGTGAGAGATGCAAAGAGAGCCCAGGTAAGTTTCTGTTTCAGGGTTGAAACTTGCCACGTCAAGAGTATTGATCTGGCGTAATTCTGTGAAACCTGTCAGTCCTGTGGGATTGGGTTCACAATGAGTTTCAAATGGCTGTGCTCAGAGGAACCTTGGAACGATTCTTTTTCTTTGCAGGTTTTAACCAAAACATGACCTGTTTATCTTCACTTGCCTTAGGAAGTAACCCAAGCTTGGGCCGGGTTGGTTTACCAGAATAGGTGGATGATTGTTCTTTCTGGTCTCCTGTTTCTTACTCCTGGTGTCCAGGGCCACAGGAACCCTCAGTTTTTGTCTTTCGAAGTCAAGGGGCTTTTGCAGAGATTAGCAAGTCAGTTTCTCCTGGCCACAGCCTGAATATTCAGGTGATTCCCTTCGGTGCTCAGATTTTGCAGTGAGCCAAAGTCCTTTCCATTTAGCTCTCATCACTGTGGCCCACATGGGCTTTTAAGGACAGTTTCTCAGATGAGAGGTACTGGATTTAATCCTTTTGCTTTAACCGCCACTTAAGGATCTTAAGTAACATATAGGATTGGCCAAAAAGTTCATTCCGGTCTTTCTGTAAGCTTGGCACCAAAACCCCAAATGAACTTTTTGGCCAAACCAGTATAATTTCTGATAATCTGTAAAAGGAAGACAAGTCACGTTCATTTTTCCTTCCTTCCGATACGAAGGCATTGAGACCTTAGTAGCTATGGAGAAGGGCCCAGAGGTGATCTGTCCTGTCCTCCCTGCCCTTGCTGGCATGTGGGTAACCGAGCTGGCCGAGGTGATCTTGCCTGTCTTCACAGGTGGCATATGGTGAAGGGTGGGGTTCCATGGTGTGTGCTGGCCAGGCCATTCGGGGATCGTACATTGTGCCTCTTGCATCCTGACCACTTGTCACTTTGGTCTTTGCAGCTATGGAAATCAGATGACTTTGGCCAGACTTGGATAATGATTCAGGAACATGTGAAGTCCGTTTCTTGGTAAGTCGTGCCATCTAAGAAACTGGAATTACATAGTCTCTTTGCTTCAACTCTAGCTCCTCCGTGCAGGGCAAATCTGCCCTCCTCCAAAAATGGTGAAGCATCTGATTCAGGAAATACACATTCTGGGCCTGAGCATTAGAACTGCAAGGTAACTTGTGAGAGGAGTGACAGAGCCTTTGCATTTTCCAGTCCATCAGGGAATCCAGGGGAATCTTGAAGCTCTCGCATGTATTAGAATTTCTAAAATACCTTTATTTTTAGAGCATCATATCAGAAGTTGGGGTTTTTCTCTAAAACTCATTTGTTCATTCATAACATTTTTTGAATGCTGAATACGAAGCCTGGCAGATGCTTTAGGGTGTAAGAAGCTGAATAATTGATAGATATAGTTATTAAGGAGATTGCAGTTTAGGAGAGAAGGAAAGACATTTTGTGCATATAACAGACATCATGAAAGAAGCATGAAGTCCCACGGACATAGCACGCGAAGCCAGAGGTGGGTCATGGTCCTTCCAGATGGACCATAGACGGCTCCACAGAGGAGGTTACTGTGGATCCAGGATGTGGACACCAGGTAGGGTGTGGCCGTGCAGAGGGGTGCAGGACAGGAATTCCAGACGGGCTCAGAATGGCTCACAGCAGAGATGAGGCACTGTGGTGCTTGGGCGAACCCTGGGCGAAGAGAAAAGGATATTGGTATCAGAATCTGCAGTGCTTGATAAAGGAATTTGGACTGAATTCTGAAAGCAGTGGAAGCCTTTGTCAGTTTTTGAGAAGGAAAGTGAAATTAACATGACTACCCTTTGAGAAGCACAGTTTTTTTGGTTTTAGTCACTTCTAATCTTTTACTGTTACAGAGATGGTGTATATAATCTTTTATTTTTCAAGTTTTTTTTTTGGTGTGTGTTTTGTTGTGTTTTGGTTTTTTTTTTTTTTTGGCAGTGCTATGCGGCCTGTGGAATCAAAGCTCCCTGACTAGGAATTGAACCTGCCCCCTCAACAGTGAAAGCACGGAGTCTTAACCAGTAGACCACTCTATATAGGGAGCTCCCTATAGTCTTAAATTTGTGCATATGCAGACGGATGTGTAGAATAGGTTCCCAGGAGTGGACTTGGAGGGTCTGTGGGAAAAGTCAAGCCGTTCACACCTGGTAAACTTGTTACGGCTTGATCTTCGCTGCCCCTAATCAGCTCTGCTCGTATGGTCTTCTCCATTTCCCCTTTTCACTTTCTAGGTGCTAAGGTCAAAAACTGTGAGTCGTCAAGGATTCTCTGTTTCATGCTTCACGTTCAGTCCACCAGGAAAGCCTACTGGCTCTGCCTTCGGTATATATGCAAGGTCCACTCCCCAGCTACTGCTTTACTCCAAACCACTGCTGTCGCTCACTAATCATCCAGCTGGTCTTTCTGCTGCTGCTCCTTCTGACATTCTCAGAGCATGGCCATGTTGATCCTGTTAGAAACAGGTCAGATCAGGGGACTGCCCTGGTGGTCCCGTGGTTAAGAATTCGCCTTGCAACATAGGGGAAGTGGGTTCCATCCCTGGTTGGGAAACTAAGATCCCACATGCCGTGGGACAACTAAGCCCGCACACTCTGGAGCCTGCATGCTGCAACTAGAGAGTCCATGTCCTGCAAAGAAAGATCCTACATGATGCATCCTGGATCCTGCATGCTGCAACTAAGACCCAATGCAGTCAAATAAATACATACATAAATATTAAAAAAGAGCCAGGTCAGACCATGTTCTTCTGCTTTGAACCCTTCTATGTGTATCGTTTCTCTCAGATGAAATGCCAGCTCCAGTCCTACCACTGGGTTTCTGCACTTGCTGTTTTCTCTGCCTGGAAAGCTTTTACTGAAGATACATTGCTCCTCTACCTCATTCAAGTCTTCTCAAATGACTAACCTTCTAGATGGAGGTCTTTCCTAAGGATTGTATTAAAATTGCAACTATTCCCCTGTCATTCCCAATCTGCCATAGCCTGATCTGTTCTTTTCTTGCATAGCACTCGTCACATCTTAATACACTTTTATTATGCTTGTTATTTGTCTTTCTTCAATAGAATAAAAGTTCCAACAGGGCATGGACTTTTGTGAGTTTTGCACTGATATATCTCCAGTGAATGGATCATTGAGATTGTAACTTTGCCAAACTTCCTATAGAAAGTGTCAAAATTTTCACTCTTTCTCAACAACATAGAATTGTGCCTTTTCCCACAGTCAGTCTTTTAATGTGTCAGCTTTTTAATATGCATTTTTCTTTCTTTTTAAAATTTTTTTGTCTTTTGGCCACACCATGTGGCATGTGGAATCTTAGATCCGCTATCAGGAATTGAACCCACATACCCTACATTGGAAACACAGAATCCTAACCACTGGACTGCCAGGCAAGTCCCTGCATTTTTCTTTTTATGAGTGAGTTTGAACATCTTTTAACTTAAGTAAGGGTCACTTTTATTTCTTTTTTGGGGACATGTCTGTTCATGCCCTTAGCCCTTTTTCTATTGGATTGTTCATCTCTTTATTATTGATTTCTAGGAGCTCTTTATATATTTGAGATCGGTCCTTTGTGATTTGAGATAGGTTTTATGGATGTGTTCATTTGTATTTCCCAGTTTGTCCTTTGTCTTTTGACTTTTACATGTAATTTTATCCTCTTTAAATGTTGCGGTCCATTAGATATGGATCCTGTCTGCGTCTTTTTGTTGTCACTTTGAAGAGGAATGTCAGTGAGTTCTTATTTCTTCCTTAGTAATTAAGGACAGTGAAGAAGGATAGAGCAGAAAGGGTCCTTAGAACTGAGTATCTTCAGGCTCCAGTGGACTTCCTTGTTACAGAAGGCAGCTGTTTCTGACTTTTTCATTATTTTCCTTGGGCAGAGGTTGTAGAATCAGTGAAATTATAACCACAATCTCATCCAAGTACAACCTCTATCCAAGGAATACCATTAAAACTTTCTTTTTTTTTTTTTGCTTTCTTTGAACTTTAAAGGGACAAATTGCTCTGTTTTCATTTTAGAGAATCATATATTAGAGGGCAAACCAGCAGGATTATTAAACAGAAGAACTTCATGTCTGGGAGTTTGTGTTGTACCTTCTGCCTCTGTGCAGACATGCAGATAGTTATCTTAGGGGAAAGGGCTGGCCTGGCTTATTGTAGATAATTATATGTCTGGAGTCAGGAAATTTCAGGCTGTTTGGGGGGATTTTCGCCTAGGACTCCCCATAATAGGTGAGAGCATAAGCTAACCTCTCAGAGAATAATGGCATACTTTGTTTCACAATGCTTGGCAGCCTGGGAGCAGCAGCAGTGAGGGAAAACCAGTGATTTATGTTATCCAGAGCTGGAGATTGGCAAGACAGGACAGAGGATGAGCCATGGGGCGGGTTTCCGAGATGGCTGCGTGGAGCATCCCGGAAGGTCTGGGAGGCGGGCGAGGCCAGGCGCGGGCCGATGACTGCTCAGAGACAGAGCACGGCTTGGCATTTCCAAATGAGGGTAAAGAGAACAGGAAGTCAGTGTCAGTGAGCCTGGAAAGTGGGAGGCCAGTGACTTCCAAGTACAAGAATTTGTAGGCAGAGCAGCTCTCCCAAATGGGAGGTTCAGATGTGGACTACGAAAGAGAATTGGCGTGAAAGTCACAGCTCTTTCCATCTCTAGCTGTTGGCTGGTGCTCTTGGTTATGAAAGAATAGTAGACATGAGCTCCGCCTCAAGATATCTGAACAAAGGTCCCTTCCTCTCTGCCTTTTTAAAAATATCCTGTGTGTTGTAATTTGCATATCCTCGGGTAGAGGAAGTACTTTAATCAGTATACTTCTAATTGTGGAAAAAAGAACATGTCCTCCCCTACCCCAATCCCACTGTGCACACAGAGCATCTTATGATGAACATTAGTTTTTCATGTTGAAACAGGCTGGTTTCTCTAGCGTCTAAGACCCCAGATTGTAGGGACAAAGTGAAGTCTTACCCACCCCCCCACCCCTGCCCCTTGATGGGAAAAAAGGCTGTTTTTGTTTTCTTCTCTTCTTCCTCTTTTCCTCACTCCTATCTTTTCTTTTCCTTCCCTTCTTGCCTTGGAACTTGCTTTTTTCCCCCTTGGCATGCAGAATCTTTAAGTTGCAGCATGCAAACTCTTGGTTGTGGCATGAGGGATCTAGTTCCCGGACCAGGGCTCGAACCTGGGTCCCCAACCCCCACCCCCGCATTGGGAGCACGGAGTCTTAGTCACTGGACCACCAGGGAAGTCCCTGAAACTTGCTTTTGACAATGCATCTTTGAAGAAATTTCTTGTCATTGCCTTCATCATCCCGAGAGCCATCGTGCCTACAGGACCGTACAAAGGCGTTTGTAATTATTAACGTTAATGCGTCCTTCTGCTCCTCCTTGGGTCACCACCGCATCCTCATGTGCAGCTCTCTTCCAGTTGTTTTGAACTGTTTTTCCTACTGGCTGAAAGGTCCTCCTGGCTTCCGTGTTCTTGTGCACGTCAGGAAACTCAGGCAGGTTAGCTGTCCTCCCAGGCTGCTCTTGGGGGCCTTATTTGGGGGCACACCAGTGCAGAGATACTTCTCCGAGGCAGTATGATATGATCACTCTACAGTTTTCATTTTGTAAGAGCTTCTCTGTAATGTCCATGGATCCTTGCAGCAAAGATCAATGCAGCCAGGAACTCTGTAGGATCAAAAGAAATGTAAGACTTGGCCTTTGAAAGAATATATACTCTGTCTAGGAAGCTCAGACAGAAACATTATGGTGGACAATGTAATACAGTGGGAAAGAAATGAGGAGACTTTGTATAAAGTGAGGAGTCTGATCCCAAAATCCACTTAATCTAGGTGTCTACCTTTGTTTGAAACTCGTAAAAAAGGCTTGGAATTGAGTGCTACAGAGATGCATTGCTAGTTTTGGGAGAAGGGAGAAGGACATGGGGGCAGGCTTCCTGGAAGAAGGGGACTTGCACTTGACCTCAGAAGATGAGTAGGATTTAGGTGTGCAGATCAGTGTCTATGCGGAGGGCATCCGGGCAGAGGGGGATGGTGTGGCAGAAGCACAGAGGGAGGGGTGAGCCCTGCGTTACTGAAGATCAGCATGTGCGAGAACGTTTGTGAAGGAGCCTCTTGGGAGGTGAACCTGCGCTGATCAGATGAATGCTGGCTGCACATATCTGTGACAACGACGCGGGACAGACAGGAAGGGCAGCGTCCGTTAGACAGGGTGGGGGTTGGGTCACTAGTTCCTCCTGTGGTTTCCTCTAGAGCTGTTCTACTGAGGACGTAGCATCATAGGGACAAACATTCCTTCATTCCCCTGCGGTTCACAGCTTGAGGCCAGAAGCTTGGTGACGGTCTCATGCAAGTGGTTCATTGCTCACTGTTTCTGAAACACTTGCCTTTCACTTTTCCTTCCGTTCCCTTCCCTCCAGCACAGCCCAGGCTTGCCTGGAGCGAAACCCAGGCTGCCTTGTGAACAACTGTCCCAGCAGAAAATACTGTGCACAAGTGACAATTTCTTCCCCTCTTTCCTGAGCCAAGGAGCCACCAAAGGGCCGGGTTTGCGGCACACAGCCGCGAACACTTGCAGCTGCCACCACGGTGGCGCCGAGTCCTCGCTGATGGTCTGCCTGGCAGGACCTCCAAGCCTCAACGTGGAGATGGTGACACCACTGTGTTTTTTCTTTCAGGGGTATCGATCCCTACGACAAGCCAAACACCATCTACGTGGAACGGCACGAGCCCTCTGGCTATTCCACAGTTTTCCGAAGCACAGACTTCTTCCAGTCTCGGGAGAACCTGGAGGTGATCCTGGAGGGAGTGAGGGACTTCCAGCTGCGGGACAAGTACATGTTTGCCACAAAGGTGGTGGTGAGTTGAAAGCATTAAGGATTAAACTGCTTTTGTGTTTCCTTTCTGAGGCTGGGCACTCTGGGATTGGGCTGGGAGTGGGATTCGTACAAGCAGGCATGTGGAGGTGGGGGTTGATTGTAGGTGCTGGACATAGATACACTTTCCCAATGGGCCTGGAAGGTTCTGAAAGGTCAAGGAGTGGAAACACTTACATAGCCACTCAGAGGGTCTCTGGGTGCTAGGAATTTGGTCTTTTCCTGGTCTGAGCATCCTTGACAAACACACATTTCTTTGAAATGCCAATGGAAGAACACAGAAAGGAGGGATGGGGCTAAGTGGCTTTCTTCTTTAATCCTGCTACTGGATTCTCTTCGACTCGGGCAGATTTCTTTGGGAGGTTTGGACACATGTTCATCTACATGGCTAATAGAATGTGTAGTCATTGGCTAGTGGGAGTTAATGCTCTAAGAAAAGTAGTAATTAAGCTTCCAGCTGTCAATAAGTAGCTTAACTCTCAGCCTTTGGGAAAATCTTCTTGATTTTATGTGTTGGAGCCACATGCTGAAATGGAGGGCTTGCTCACTCAAAACCACAGTTGATTATTTAACGGGACTTGCCTTGCTGCTGTATCAAGTTGCAACCATACTTCCCCTTGAGTAAAGGAAAAAGCCAGGCCTGTCCAAGAGTCAGTTGGGCTGCTCTAGTTGGAGGGAGGTGAGCTCGCTTTCATAATGTTTTGCGGCCGGTGCCTCCTTGACCTCAGGCTCTGACAGTCTCCCCTGTGCCTGGGAGGTTGCCCTTTTCACTGTTAAACCTTAAGGGCTAAAACCGGATGTCATGTTTTCCTCCAGGTTCTCACTTATTTATATGATTGGTAGCTGGCCAGGCAGAAGCAGGTCAGCCCCCTTGGTAGATTCTAGGGTGGAGAGAAGATCTCCCCTAAAGGGAAAGCAGGGAGTGAGGTTGAAACCAGGAGAGAAGAGGAGAGAGGCTGAAGGCCAGAGGGGTTCCCCATTACACACCTTGAACAAGGTTTTTTAAAACCACTAAACTACGGCAGATTTTCTTCTGACAGGCTGTTTGCCTTGAGACACTCCCTGGATCATTTGCTTTTTGCTGTGTCTTTCTCTTACTCACACGTACATGTGCGCATGTATACAGAGCGGCCCAGGAACTTTGGGGCTGGGATGTGCTGGGAATACAGAGATGAGAGGTCAGGCCTGAGGATTGATACCTCCAGTTGTGTGGTGCCTCATAGGTCTTTCTTGTTTTAATTTCTTGGGCTTGTGCCTTTTGTGATTTTAATTTCTTAATTTTAAGGCCCAAGGACTGATTCCCAGATTTCTTTTACAGACTGAGTCGAGGCGGGCTGAGGTGGAGCATTAGCTTGCATTCCTTTATCCCTATTATTTCTAGATCTCACACCCAAGAATAAGATAAATCCCATTTGGAGCTTTCTGCACCCTTCTTTCTGACCTCATAGCTCCATCTGTTTTGTAGACATAGCTGCTTTGCTGAGTGCCGATGGTGATTTCTGTACTGTTTCTGGCCAGTGGTGGGATCAGGGGCCATGTCTGTCTGAGCCACACTGATACGGTACCCAGTATTTTGCACAATGCTTGATTTATAACATATGTACAATAGAGTTGAACGAATCTTGGCCTAATTTAGAAAGATTAGGCTACTGGGTTTTTTTACTGGGAGCATGGGATGGGGTTGGGGGACATTAAATTATTGGTTCTTTTATTATAACTCTCACCTCTTGTGTGTGGCTTATTGATTTACATGGTATCGGTGGCAAGATTATAGTTGTGTTGACTTCTTCCTTCAGCACATGGACGGACCACCAGATTCCAAGGTCAATGGTGTTAGCTGGAAGCTCCAGGTGAGACGAACTAGGCTCCCAGCTGGAAGTGTTGTCTTAGGATCACCTTCGGCAGCATCAGCTGTGGTTAAAAATGCAGATGGCAGGGTTCGCATGCATTTTCTCCCACCACCTCCTCCACCCCCCCGAGAATCGCTGGGTTGCCCAAGAATCTCCAAAATTTGAGACATTCTTCCCTGAAGGCTTGTATATGCAGGAGCTTTTGACGGTAATTATATTATCAAAGGAACCTTTCTCAGTGGATAGGTTGAGAGAAGAGATGCTACTGGCAGTGGATGATAAAATAGGTATTTTTCTGCTTAGTACATTAGAGTCTTAAGCCATAAGGATACATGACATTGGCTCTGGTTGGATAACTCTATCAGTAGGCATGTTGAGGTCTGCACCTCCACCTCCTTTATCTGGGGTGTTCCCAGCACTGTAGGTGCTGGGTTTGGGGAATTCCTAATGACTTTTATGTTTGTTGTCATTCCGTCCAACTCTTTGCAACCTCACGGACGCAGCATGCCAGGCTTGTCTGTCCTTCACTATTTCCCGGAGTTTTCTCAAACTCAGATCCATTGAGTCGGTGATGCCGTCCAACTATCTTGTCCTCTGTCGTCCCCTTTCCTCTGTCATCCCCTTCTCCTGCCTTCAATCATCCCCAGCATCAGGGTCTTTTCCAGTGAGTTTCCAATGAGTCAACTTTAATGTTAACTGGATTCAAATCAAATTAGGAAAGTCAAGGAAGTAATTGCAAAATGACAGAAAATTGCTTTGGGGTGATTAACTCTTTTGCTTTTTTCCAGCACTGTGACTGCTTCCAATTGCTTGCAAGTTAGTTTTTTAGAACACGTTAGGGCAGCCAACTGGGTTCTGGACTGGGGCTGGTTTCCAAGTCTCCAGAACCCCCTGGGGCCCTCCTAGTCTGGCTCTTACTTCAGGAGTGCTTTGTATCTGATGCCTGTCAATTTTTTTTATTCCTTGGTTTTTGACATGAAGTTCATATACTTACTAGTCCACACCAAATGATAGGGCCTTTAATAATTTGTGCAGCCAGCCATGCTTCTCCATCCATGGGATTTTCCAGGCAGGAATACTGGAGTGGGCTGCCATGTTTCCTCCAGGGGTATTTATTTTTTAAGAATATTTATTTACTTGGCTGTTCAGTGCAGCATGTGGGATCTTCCAGTTGCAGGAGGCAGAATCTTTAGCTGTGGCAGAATCTCTAGCTGTGGCATGCAAACTCTTAGTGGTAGCATGTGGGATCCAATTCCCTGACCAGGGATCAAACCTGGGCTCCTGCATTGGAAACATGGAGACTTAGCCACTGGACCACCAAGGAAGTTCCGATGGGGCCTTTAAAGCAACAGAGAGGTACCTCTGCAAAGGGTCCAACATCAGTTTGTGAACTTGGTGAGACACAGCTGGTAGGTGCTTCCTGTAGGTAACAGTAGTTACCAGAAAGTTGGAAGGATGTGAGGCTTGGCTGCTTCACTCTCCAACTTCACTCCCAGCCTCTCCCGAAAGGCAGATTCAGACATTTCTTGCCCAAGGTGCAGCAGTGAGCCAATGCCTGATGCGTGGGCTTGATGGAGTCTCCTCTCTGTTCTTACAGGTGATGGCAGCCACAGCTTGGCAGGATGCAGACAGTGTTCTTGGGCAGGCTTGGCAAACCATGCTCTTTGGTTTTTGTCAGTAAAGTTTTATTGAAACACAGGCGTGCTCATTTGCTGTGTGTCGTCCATTGCTGCATTCACGTTAGAGTGGCAGAAATGAATCGTTGCTTAAAGGCAGGATGGCCCACAAAGGCTAAAGTACTGCTGTGAGTACTTTACAGAAAAAGTTTGCCAGCTGCTGTTGTGGAGGCAGGATTCTGTTCCCCTTTCAGTTGGCATTAGGCAGCTAGAATCCTCTAGTGCAGGAGCTTGCACCAGATGAATCTGCAGTATGTCCCCCAAGAGTTCAGGTGATAGGCCTCCTTAAGTCGCCGTGCCCTTTACTTGCCGTGGTCTTATCTTTGGGTTGCGTGCGTGTGTGCTCCGTTGCCTCAGTCATGTCTGACTTGCGACCCCATGAACTGTAGCCCACCAGGCTCCTCTGTCCATAGGATTCTCCAGGCAAGAAAACTGGAGTGGGTTGCCATGTCCTCCTCCCGGAGATCTTCCCAGGGATCGAACCTGCATCTCCTGCATCTCCTGCATTGGCAGGCAGAATCTTTACCGCTGAGCCACGTGGGAAGCCCAATCTTTGTGATATTATGGCTAATTCAGACATCTTGCATGCCACAGATTTCCTGAGAGAACTCAATTGTACTTTCACTGTTCTGACCAACCAACCACTAATTTCACTATTGGAAACCAATTTCTAACCATGGTTATGCTAGTTTTAAGTCCCTAATGCTGATAGAGATAACAGAAAAACCTCGTAATTGCCTCATAACTGTGAGCTTCTACATGAGAGATTAACTGACCACAGTTGAACCAACCAAAATCCAAGCATCGACAAATTATTTTAATTATGACATTGCTTAAATGTATCTGAACATAGACATAGGTATAAGCACCTAACACTTGTAACTCCATATGCAACAATAAAGTTCAAATGTGTTTACAGATTAAAAGTGACACTATAATACCAATACATTTAAAATTGATTTTTTATAATACCAGTATTGAGATATGATTCATATCCTCTAACATTTACCCTTGTCAAGTGTAAAGTTCAGTGATTTTTAGTATGTTCATAAGGTCAGGTATTTCTCACCACCATCTAAATCCAGAGCATTGTCGTACCTGTGAAGGAAACCTCATACCCCCTAGCAGTACTTTCTACCCCTCTCTCCTTCCAGCCCCTGACAACCAGGAATCTACTTTCTGCCTTATGGATTTGCCTATTCTCAACATTAATATTATTATTATTTGCTGCACCTTGAGGTATGTGGGATCTTTGTTCCCTGCATTGGAAGTGTTGGGTCTTAACCACTGGACCACCAGGGAAGTCCCCCTTTTAAATTCTTGATATGTTATTTCCTTTAGTTCTTTGACTGTGTTTAGGATAGAGGATTTAGATTTTAGGTCCAGCATCTGGTCTTCCTCAGGAACAGGTTGTATTGACTGTTGTGTGTGTTTGCTTTTCATTTTTTGGTGGAAAA